CTGTCTGCATGTGCCTTGCAGGCCAGAAGAGGGCACCAGATCTCATTAGAGATGGTTGTGAGCCATCATGTGGTTGCTGGGAATTGAACTCAGGACCTCTGGAAGAGCAGTCAGTGCTCTTAACTTCTGAGCCATCTCTCCAGCCCCTGGTCATTGTTTCTTATCACAGTAATAGAAAGCAAACTAAACAAAAAACTTACCTAGAGTAATATATCTGGATGATTGAAATGTGGTAGAAACACATGATTTTCATACCTTTGAATATGTGTTACATTCATAGGTCTATTCCATGCACTGTAGTTTCCTGGAACATGGCAACTATATCTTCTTAGTCTTCCTAATATCTAAAATAGTTCCTATATATAACAAGGACTAAATGAATGTTTTGAATAAGTGACAAAAGAATAAATGGATGGGAGGATGGATGGCCACTAAAGTTGTTAATTGTTACTCACTAAGGGAAGGCAGTCAATATTTACTGAGCACTCACAATGTGCCAATTTATGCCTAAAGCTAGATTATAAGAATTTGTGGACATTGAAGATCCCCCATGGAAGGCCTCACCCTCCTGGGGAGCAGAAAGAGGATGGGATGGGGGTTGGTGGGGAGCAGGGGAGGAGGAAGGGAGAGAGAACTAGGATTGACATGTAAAACAAACTTGATTCTAATTTAAATAAAAAATAGAGGAAAAAAAGAATTTGTGGGCAACTGGGGCTCAAGGGATAAATCACTTATTATGAGAGTATCAGGACATGAGTTAGAGTCCCTCAGAACCAATGTAAAGCCAAGTATGTAGCTCATGGCTGAAATCCCGGTGCTTTAAGAGGAGATGAAGGTGAAGATAGGAGAATCCAAGAAGCTCACCGCCCAGCTAGCCTGGTGTACACAGCTACAACCAAGCTCCCTGTCTGGAAAAAGTGGAAGGTGAGGCCTAACACCTGGAGTTGTCCTCTGACCTCCACCACATCATAGTGTGCAAACCGCGTCAGTCACACACATACCCACCCCTGTCTCTGTTTCTGTCTCTCTCTGTCTCTGTCTCTCTCTCACTCACACACACACACACACACACACACACACACACACACACGAACCTCTCTTTCACATACATACACACACATGCATGCATGCATGCATGCACATACAACATTGTAGTTTAAGATAATGAACCAGTGAATTAGTTATGCTTTTTGTCCACTATAAATATGAAAATTGAGTGATATTTGACACCCTTTAAAGATGTCTGGATCATCTAGCTGGTGCTAACTTAAGGCTACATGATACCAGAGCTATCGATCTGGTTTAAGCAAAGTTGAACAGAACACTTTGCTCACTGTTCAGCTGAATAACTTCAGGGTCAAGTGGTCACAGAATAGATCAGAATGTGGGCTCATGTCCACCATGTGTGACATTTTTGCTGAGTTTTAATGTGGTTATATAGCAAAAATTCACTGTCCACAAAGTTCAATTTCCTCTAGAATCAGTGCGATCACCAGCCTTTCCTTGATCCTCACTGCCAACAAGCCTTCAAAGGAGTCCTGCTTTATGAGGCGGGCAGGGAATCTGCATGTCCAGGGCCCCCTGGGCTTTCTCAGTACTAGTGTCATCATCTATAGATGGGCAATGGCCTCTGTCACAGGGATTCATTTTACTCCTGATTGCCACAATGAAGATTTCTACCACCCAGGGCTCATGAAGTGCATTGTCATCCCTTACACACGTGCCGAGCCATGGGTCATGTTGCCCAGAATCCGTGTGGCTGCTGACAAGAGGGTGCACAACAGCCCCTTGAATCCTAAGTGGCTAGCTCTCTTCTTGCCTTTAGTTTTCAGCAGCTCTTCAAACAAATGCTTATTTAAGAGACTAAATATGACAATATGGTTTTGAGAGTACACAAAAGATCAGAAAGAAATAGTCCTCTAAAATTTTTCTCTTTAATCAGAGCTTAAAATTAGAGGTATATTAGAATCATTCTTTTAAAGGATTCATAGGAAATTTTTGCTTATCTTTTGTTTTACGATCCATGTTTCACTAACATCCCACCATCTACATAGTAAATCCAGTAGCTTTTAGGAGTGTATGTGTGTGTGTGTGTGTGTGTGTGTGTGTGTGTGTGTGTGTGTGTGTGTGTGTGTGTGTGTGTGTGTTGTGGTTAGGAAGATGATTCAATGGGTAAAAGTCCATTGAGCTATATCCCTCAACCCCCTTTTACCTTCTTAGTTTTAAGTTGCACAGGCTGACCTTGAACTCACTCTGTATTTCAGGAAGGCTTTGAAATTGCAAACCTCAGCTTTGGCCTCCTGAGTAACTGGGATTGCAGTCTTGAGCCACTCAATCTGACTTGGTGTACATTTCTTTTAACACATCATATTGTAGTTCTCTTGGGGAAAATCAGAGGTCCTGGCAATCACCAATTAACAGTCTTACTTTAATATGCAGAATTTTAAAAACAGATGTTGTGACAGTTCATCTTGACTGAGGATGTCTGGGAGATTAATAAAGCATACCTCTGGGGTTAATCATTGGAGATGATTGGATACTGAAAACTGACCTAATCAGATTAAGCCCTTGGTGAATTCAATTTCAATGGCATTATTGGGAGCTGGGGGAAATCGGGGAACTGGGGAGGCTTGGGGAAGTATGACCCTGGGGACATGCCTCTGAAGAGTCCATCATGTTCCAGAGCCCTCCCCTTTTGGTCCATTTTCTTCTAGGCTGCCATGAGACAAGGAACTTTCTCCCACTCCAGCCTTCCACCATGACATATTGCTTCACTATGGACCCAGAAACACAGAGCCAAGTCATCATGAACAGAAAACATAAGCCAAGAGAAATCCTTTTCCCTCTCTCAAGTTGTTTCTCTTGGGTATTGATGTCATCATGATGGAAAATTCATGTAATACAGAAGTTCATCAGGATCATCCCTAATGACAATATCTACTCTAAAGCATATAAAACATGGAATAAAATATACTGTCCTCAGAGGTGGGAAGAGATGTGAACGGGGGCATCATCAAGTCCATTCAGGGTCAGAATAAAATGAAAAGAAGAAGAGAGGATTCACTCTCACACTCCTCAACCTCCTCCTATCATCTTCTCCTTCTCCTTCCCCCTTCTTCCTCCTCCTCTTCCTCTTTCCCCACTCCATTCCCTCCCCATAGCCCCTGACAGACTTCTTGAGCTTTGTCATCCATCTTCTCCTGTGCTCAGTGACCCTAGTTGTCATTCCTGCGGTCTGGAACTACACTCCTCAGCACCAGTACCCTGGCTTTCAGGACTTCAAACTACAGGTGTCGGCTTTCTTGGGTTCCCAACTTGGAGAAAACTGTTTGTGGGACTTCTCAGCCATTTTGTGAACTGAATGGATGAATAGATTATAGACAGACAAAGGATAAATATCTGTGGGTTGCAAGTTGCTGCCAAGGGCCATGTCTGGGTTTGTGGTCCTGCTGCAGCTGGTGGGGGTTGGTGAGGACTTCCGTGTAGCAGGCTTTTCCTTTTATGCCACCAACCAGCTCCCAAATCATGACACAGAGACTTATTATTAGTTACAAATGCTCGGCTGGCCTTAGCTTAGGCTCATTTTTTGCTAGCTCTTACAACTTAACTTGGTTATCTTTTTGCCTTGGGGATTTTTGCCTTTCTTTCTGTGTGTCCTACCTTCCTGTTTCTCGAGTCTGGCTGGCTTGGTGGCTGCCTGGCTTCTGGACTCAGGCATGTCCCTCTCTTTCTCCCTTGTTCTCTCCTTCTTCTCAAGAGTAGATTTCTCCTTGTACTTATTATCTCTGCCCACCAGCTCTGCCTATCCCTCTCCTGCCTAGCTATTGGCCATTCAGCTTTTTATTAGACCAATCAGGTGCCTTAGGCAGGCAAGGTGCAAGAGCAACACATCTTTACATAATTAAACAAATGCAGCACAGAAAATGTAACTCATCTTTGCATCATTAACAAAGACAGCATAAACAAATGTACACATCTTGGGCTAGTTAAAATAATATTCCACGAGACTTCCTCCCAGAGACCTTTACTCAGGGGCAGTTGGGCTCTTGACCAATACTGCAGAAAAGAATTTCAGGACAAGTCAGTGTGAAGCAAAGCTGGAACTCATTAAGAAAGGAGCATAAGCACACAGAGAAACTAAAAGGGTGGTTGGTAAGAGCATCTGTTTGCTTTCTATCGCTGTAATAAACACCATGACCCAAAACAGCTTGAGAAGGAAAGGGTTTATGTTCTCTTACAGCCCACAGTCCACAGTGAAGGGAAGACAGAGCAGGATCTCATGTGGAAACTTGGAGGCGGTTACTGAAGCAGAGACCATGGAGCTGTACTGCTTATTGATTTGTTCTCATGCCTGGCTCAGTTTACTTTCTTATAGGACCGAGGACCACCTGCCTAGGAGTGGCACTGCCCTCAGTGTGCTGGATACTCCTGCATCAACCATTAATCAAGAAAATACCTCCCAGACTTACCTACAGGCATTTGACAGGGGTGTTGTTCCAATTGAGGTGCTTCTTCCCAGATGACCCTAGCTTGTGTCAAGCTGTCAAAACAAAACAACAAGAATAAAACTATGCATAGCAATAAGAGACACACATTAATGTCTTTTAAAACTCTAAATTTTATATATAGCTTTTGAAATTATATTGCTCAAAAGATATAATGTATAAACACTCCCAAAGATTAAAGTTTCAATATTAAAGGAATTAATTTATGTAATTTTCTCATCTTAAAGAACCTCATTTTGTAAATGAAATTACAAGGTATTTTAAGAGGTGCACTGCTAAGGTTTATGAATGAGATAAGGTCAATATCAGAGGTCATAGGGGCCAAAAACAAACATGCTGGTCATAAGCATGGTTTACTGTTTCCATACCCATGTTTCAAATAGCTCTCAGAAAAGGAGGTAGAATCACTTGAAAAGACTATATTACCAGTCTTGAGTAGTCTTTTCAAGTTTTGTTAGGCATGTTGAAATTCTTTAATCTAGTGAGAAACATGCACCAGATGGAAGGACTGTTATAGTTTTGACGTTCTTTTACTTTTTCCCTATCTTTCATTCCTGCATCAGTTATACACACGGTAACAGCTGTGCACCTGCTTAAAACCTAAGGATAAGGGCTAGAGAGACTGCTTAATGGTTAAGACTAACACACTGCCCTTATGCGGCATTCATTTCGGGTGTCTCACAACCTCTTGTGACTCCGGAGAATCCGATGCCTACTTTGGCTTCTGTGGACACGTGCTAAAAATATGGACACATAACTAAAAATAAAATAATGTTAAAATTTAGGGCATGTTCCACAAAATGAGAGTACACAAATTATGAATAATGAAGTACAGACTCCATCTCAAGAATGGGGAACAGGGCATTGCTGGGACGGTGATGGAACAGTGTGTCTTCCAAACTATATTGTTTCTAAAAATCAGGTTCTGATTTTTAAACTCTGGGTGCAACCCGAGATTGTACCTTTTAAACTAGCTCTCTGTGGGGCGGGGGGATGTGTCGCTGGTGTTCAGGCCCTACACTAAGCACAGCCGAGATGTAAAAAGCAAATTATATTAAGAATGAATGAGAGAGAAACGAAAGCAGAAAGAGTAAAGATGGGAAGATACAGGGAAAGAAAAGGAGAGCGAGAGAGGAAAGAAAAAAAAGATGGATTTACTTCTCGAAGATTAACAAAAGCGGAATTGACGATACACAGTAATTGTGTAACAGGGAAGGGTAAAGGATGGGGTGCAAAAGACCAACTCTTTAAATGAACATAAAAGAAGAAAACGAAAATGCTGAAGTGAGGCGGCATCACAGGAGACACCTGGCCAGCAGTATGCACCTGAGGACGAAGTTTGGAGCGCGTCAGGGGACCCAAATTCGATCATCTCTGGAGCACCCGCACTGGGTCCTGGACAGTGGACA